ATATATATATATATATTGTATTAAATGAGAAATTTTTATTGTAAAAAGGAGAAACATATATAAACTATTTTGTTTTCCATGAATACCACCCGATATTCATAGCTAACAACTTGAATCATCTACATATAATTATATAATTTGTTTTTGTATTTCTCTTTTCACACACACACAGAGTACGTTTTTACTTGATATGACGCTTGCTTTATAACTATATTATTTTTTCTACAAAAATAATCAACTTTGTCATTAAAGTATATTCTTATTAACATATATGTGTTATCCTTTTTAACTTCATTCAACTAGATATAAATTAAGTAACAAGTACTATCTAATTGCATCCCTTAAAGAAATCCACTTTACGGATTGAAGGGGGTTAGTGACTGGCTGATTTGATATACACACCAAAAAGAAAAAAATTAAATTAAATTTTCTCTCGTTGACTTGTTAAAACATTTTGTGTTTTCATAATTCAACTTTGCATCTCTAGTTGGAACATTGCCATTTCCACGCGTTTCCAATAATTACATGTCGACGTTTGACTTTAAAACAAAAATGAAATTCTATCAATTTCTTGACTTTGATTTCATTCTCACGGGCTATAAAATGACGATTTTCCTCCAGTACCAACCCTGTGCATGAATAGCTCTTCACATCTAACTTCCTACACATTTTCACACCAAAAGCTTGTTCCTTCATGTCTATGGATTATTCCATAATAATTAGTTTACTTCTTCTCTTTTCATGCACTACAATACACGTTCTCTCAAACACAATAAGAAGAAAACGAAACCACAATCTTCCACCAGGACCTTCTCCTCTTACCCTAGTGAGAAACCTAGTTGAACTTGGCAAAAAGCCACAACAAACACTAGCCAAACTTGCCAACCTTCATGGCCCCATAATGCGTTTGAAGCTAGGTCAACTAACCACCATAGTTATCTCTTCACCAAACATATCCAAAGAAGTGTTCCAAACCCATGACTTGTTATTCTCAAACCGAACAATTCCACATGCCACAACGGTTCACAACCATAGCCATAATAGTGTAGCTTTTCTCCCCATTTCACCTCTTTGGCGAGACCTTAGGAAAATATGCAATAACCAATTGTTCTCCAACAAGTCCCTCGATGCAAGCCAAAACCTTAGACGCAAAAAATTGCATGAACTTCTCAATCACGTACATGCATGCAGCCTTAGGGGTGAAGCAGTGGACGTTGGAACCGTGGCTTTTAGGACTTCGATTAATTTTTTGTCGAACATTTTTTTCTCTATGGATTTTGTTAACAATGAAGATGAAAGTGAAGAGTACAAGGGCATAGTGGAGAATCTTGCAAGAGTGATTTCAACGCCGAATTTGGAGGATTTTTTGGCGTTGTTGAAGATGGTTGATCCACAAGGCATTAGAAGACGAGCAACTACTTACGTTTCAAAGTTGTTCGCTATTTTTGATCGATTGATAGATAAACGATTGGAGTTGGGTGTAAGTAATGATGACATGTTAGACACGTTGCTCAACATATCTCAAGAGAATGGCCAGAAGATGGACACCAAAAAGATCAAACATTTATTTCTGGTATTGTCCTTTCCCTTATATTGTTTTATCACTCCCTTTAATTTTTAAGCTAAAATAGAATTTTAATATCTTATATTTATTGGTGTCAGAAAAGTATCTTATATTTATTTTTAGTTTTAATTTGATCTTTTAAATTTAAAATTTTTCATTTTTACTCGTATACTACTAGAATTTCTCTTATTACATGCGACTTTTCCTGCGAATTTTTCATAAAAATTTGCAGGAAACGTTATTCTTACAAATTTTTCTGTGAAATTTTATCTATAGGTAATACCTTCGTAGATAATATTTTTTGCGAATTTTAAAATTTGCAGGAAACTTTCCTGCGAAATTTCTTGCGAAAAAAATTTGCAAGAAAGTTTCCTGCAAAAAAAAAATTTGCAAGAAATTCTACAGGAATATTTTTTACAAAAAAAAATAAAAAAATTACTATAAATTCTATCAATAATTCTTCAACTTTCAAATGCTCACAATGAATTCATTGGAAGTATTTGTTTTCATGCTTCCAACATATGATACATAATCTTTTAAATTCTAAGATTGTAGATTATAAGTTTAACACTCAACCATACAAATCAACTTGTAAGGTAAGTGTTGCCCCAACTTATATATTTTTTAATTGTTTTATTTTCAATCGATGTGGAACTTGAAATTTTTTTTAAAATATTAAACTTATAAATTTAATTTTTTTTCCTGCGGATTAAAATTTGCAAGAAAATCCGCAAGAAAAGTTACCTACAAAATTTTTCTACCATTTATTAAACATTACTTGCGAATTTATTTTTGCAAGAAAATCTGCAAGAAACAAAATAAAATTCTTACAATATTTTCTGCAAATTTTTACCATGGAAAAAATTTTCTATCATCATTAAAATTGTAGCAAAATTTGTAAGAAATATCTATAAATTATTTTTCACAAATAAATTCACAAAAAAAAAATTTGGGAATATTTTTTTTTCAAGAAAATTCGCAAAAAATTTCTGCGAATATTTTTTTGCAGAAAAATGACACTTTTCTAGACGTATATACATTTTAAATTTTTAAGAGTCCAAAAAAAAAATAATTAAATTTAAAGGACTAAATTAAAATAAGGGACCGAATTTCTATTTTTATGTTCAATTTTACTATCGATAGTTTCGCCTTTTTTTTTAGTTTAACAATATTTTTTAAGATCCCTTAAAAAAAATATTTTTTAAGTTACTTAAGTTTTTTTTCTTGTCTTTTTCTATCCTGCTTTCAATTTTTATATTTAAAAAAAAAAAAACTTATAGTTACTCACGGAAGGAGCACTTTAGCTACTCGTTCTTTTTTACTAAATTTTTCACTTCAATATTAATTGATTTGGTATTCATTTTCTCTTCAAATAAAAAAAATATTCACAAACAAACAAAAAATTTCAAACTTTAAGATTGTAAGTCCTTGTTAGTATGGTCTTTAATTAATTAAAATTAAATCATTTGTACTATACAGTATGAGTTTATATTACGATATATTATATTAATAAATAATTTAATTTGTTGATATAAAATATTGATATATTATCAATAATTCAATTATTAGTATATTACATCATACTCAGGGACGGAGCCAGGATTTCAATACTGGGGGGCCGAGAATAAATAATATATAATTTATAATAAATGAAAATTAAAGTATCAAAAGTATATAAAAAAAATATAAAAAAAAATTAAAATTGTTGGGGGGGCCGTGGCACCCGTAGGTCCCCTCTTGGCTCCGTCCTTGATCATACTTTTAATGTAAAATCAATTTTTCCACTAAAGCTAATTATTTTTCTTTACTATATATAGTAAATGTGTAGATGTCAATTTTTTTTAATATTATACAATACATATATAATATCGCCAAAACAATTGGTGAATTTCTCATGTAGAGTATAAATTTATCTATGATTTTGTAACAGGATTTAATTGTTGCTGGAACCGATACCACTTCCTACACAACGGAATGGGCAATGGCTGAACTAATCAATAACCCAAATGCAATGTCAAAAGCCAAAAGGGAGCTTGAGCAAACTATTGGAATAGGCAATCCAATTGAAGAATCAGACATTACAAGACTCCCATATTTGCATGCAATAATAAAAGAAACATTACGCTTGCATCCTGGGGCCCCACTTTTGCTACCTCGACAAGCCAACATTGATGTAGAGATCAATGGCTACACTATTCCACAAGGTGCACAAATTGTAATTAATGAATGGGCTATTGGAAGGGACCCTAGCATATGGGATAACCCTACTTCATTTTCACCTGAGAGATTTTTGGGTTCAGAAATTGATGTCAAAGGTCGACATTTTCAGCTCACACCGTTTGGTGGTGGGCGACGAATTTGCCCTGGCTTGCCACTAGCTATGAGAATGTTGCATTTGATGTTGGGATCGTTGATCAATGGTTTTGATTGGAACTTTGAAAATGATGTGAATCCAGATATCGACATGGGTCAACCCTTGCGAGCTATTCCCTTTAGAATAAACAAATCTAGTTGATGGAACGTGGCACAAGTGGTTGATCAATGAAGAAAACTAAGGGAAGTCTAGGTAGGTGCATTTGTTGTTTGATGTTCACACTTTCTCCAAAAATTATTGGAATCGTGTAACAAAATTAATTACGGTGTTATAGCTAGGCTAAGATTTTGTGTAGGGTTAAGCCATTTATTAATAATATTATTTTTTTTGTGTGTGTGTATATATATATATATATAGGAGGTGTTCTTACTGGAGATCGGTCGTAGGGGACGATCTGCTGGGCAAGATTGGTGAGCCTCATTCGCTAGGTACGCTTGTTGCTCCAAAGTGAGGGTGGTACCTGCAAAAGAGACTCCGATGCTAAAGTTAGTGTTTGTGGATGTATGGGTCTCGTATAAGTAATGCACGTACCTTAGTGTGAATTAGGGTTTATCTGGGCCTTGGGTCTGAGATCAGTTATGACCTATTCAGATAGTGGGTCTTTGTCTTGGCCGATGTCATGCGGTGCATATCCGATTTCAATCTTCGCTGTGATGCCGAGCTTGAACTCGGCTTAGCGGTACGGATAGTACACTAGCCCCCCGAGCTTCGAAGACCATGGGTCGAGGAGTTAATGCCGAGCTCGATGAAGGGTCATGACTTTTCGCGTACGCTCCTCTGACGTGATGCCATGTGTCATGAGTGTCACCTCGTTCTCTGAAATGCGTGGGCGGCGTGTTAATGGGAGGTGACGGTTACGTAATGATGGGGCGCACTCGTCATAATGGGCTCCATTAATGTGTCGTCAGTTTTGTCCTTTTGCGCCACGTGTCACTTCCGTTTTCAATTTTGCAAACCCCTTTTTCCCTCTCTCCTTCGCGCCTTCTCACATTCACTTTCCCTTTTCTCTCTTGGTTTCCTTTCTACGTTTCGTCTTCTCTTTGTTCTCTGCCCTCTTTTCGTTTTCGATTTGCCTCACCGCTGGTGTTTTCGCGGTTGCAGTCGCCGTTCTCCCCCTTTGTCCTCGTTTGTCAAAGGAGTACCAGGTACTTCCCTTTATTGCCTTCTCCCTCATTCCTTCTCTCTACCAGTCTTCTTCATTTTTCCCCTTTTAAGTTTCTTCCACTCTTGATGGCTGGTGAGAGCAGTGTCTCACTTCTACACTGACCAAAGGCAAGGGCAAGGCGCGCGGAAGGCGGTGGCCAACGAGATGGTTACCGCTGAAAAGAAGAGGGGTGGGAATAACCCTAAAGATTCCCACCCCGCCATTACCGTCCCTGGCTATGAGTGGGTCAGAGGGGACGTCGAAGAGTTCTAGAGTGTCTTTAAATCATTTATTGAGGTCAATGCGATGTGAAGATCGCATAGGATCTGCCAAGCGTCCATTTCCCAGCTCATCCGGGTTGAAAGTTCGCTACAATACCAAGGAGATTGAGATCCCCGACCCTGGCGAGGAGGAGGTCGCTCCCCTTGACACTCGTCGAAAAAAAAAGAGGGGAGAGAAGAGAGTCAGGGAGACCTCGGCCCCTCGTGACGCTGAAGAGGTGACCTCGAAGGCCGCCACGCCGACCTAGTCGACTTAACTAGGAGTCCTCCACCTGAGGGGTCATCCAAAGTAGCCGTGGAGGAGGTCGCTCGTGAGACGCAGGTTTGTGTCTTTCTTCTTATAGTCTTTCTTCCACATTGTGTGATTTCCTTGTTTAATAACTTAGGAAATTTTTCCCTGTTTTGTGTAGGCGGGGCCTGTGTCTACTTCTGCCAAGGCTCGCGTGGAGCTGAGCTCAGAGGCACCGAGGCCGAATGCTTCAGCTGCTGCGCAGGTGGCTCCTACCTCAGTTGCCGCCGAGGCCCGCGGAGAGGGACCGAGCTCTGGGGCGCCGACTCTCACTCTTGCCGCCGCTATGCCGCCTCTTCCTCCGCTAGGGGCTCCAAGGGGGAAATGCATCATACAACGCTTTGATGTTAGTCGCCCCCTAGCGAGGTTGGACCATGTGAGCGTGTCATTGGATGTGGATTCGATGTGGAGTTCGAAGGTGACCGCCGAGACCTTCTACCCGGGAGGTTCACTCTGCTCGGCTGACAAGGCGATGATTGAGAAGGTCGGGAACTAGAGGGCCTAGAATCTGCAGAGGTTTTCATGCAGAGGTTGATCACCATTGTGGACCATTGGAAACGCAAGTGGTCGAAGCTGCAGGGGGAGCTCGAGAGCGCTAGGAGCCGAGTTCAGTCGCTAGAGGAAAAAAACTGGGCCTTGGGGGCCGCTCTGAGCGAGGCAGTGAGGAAGAATGAGGCCAAGCTGCAAGCCACGAGGAGGGATCTTTCAAGGACTCAGAAGTCTTTGGAGATTGCTCTGAAGGCTAACGAGGTCTACGCTACCCAGGTCGGCGAGCTTCAGGAGGTCGCCAAATCTTCTCGGGGCCGGGCGCGCTTTCTAGAAGACGAGGTCTTGATGTTGAAGGCTGAGCTGGAAGAAGCAGCTGAGAGGCGCCTCTGTGACGAGGTGCTTCTAGTTGGCAAGGAGGAGGAGGTCAGTGCTCTGAAGGCTGACCTTGATAAGATGGCCGCGGCGAATGCAGGCTTAGAGAGAAAGCTTGTTGAGACTAAGCGAGCTATCTTGAGGGAACACAAGAGTGGGTTCGCCAAGGCGGCTCGTCAGGCTAGGTTGTTGGCGCCGGGGGTTGACCTCTCTGCTGTGCACGTAAAGAAGGAGGTGCGAGGTGGCCAACTGGTGAATGAGGACGACCTGCCTGACAGCTCAAGCGAGAACACTGCCGCTTAAGCCATCTATAATAACTTAGTTGGTTTTATTTGCTTTTTGTATTGAACTCATTTTGCTGATGAACTCGTTATGTATATAATTTCTTTTCGCACTATTGTTGGGATAATTACTTTGCATTTTTTGATATTCCTTGCTTGATTTGCCTCCGTTTCGAGGTTCAAACTTGACCTTTGTTTGCGATTTGATCCGAGATGAATTGTGTCAAGGTTCGGATTCGACCTTGGCTTAACATGATGTGACTCGTACCAAAGTTCGAATTCGACTTTGGCTTATCATATTATAATTCGTACCAAGGTTCGAATTCGACCTTGGCTAAACGTAATATAATTCGTACCAAGGTTCAAATTCGACCTTGGCATAGCATAATATAATTCGTACCAAGGTTCGAATTCGACCTTGGCTTAACATAATATAATTTGTACCAAGGTTCGAATTCGACCTTGGCTTAACATAATATAATTCGTACCAAGGTTCGAATTCGACCTTGGCTTAACATAATATAATTCGTACCAAGGTTCGAATTCGACCTTGGCTTAACATAATATAATTCGTACCAAGGTTCGAATTCGACCTTGGCTTAACATAATATAATTCGTACCAAGGTTCGAATTCGACCTTGGCTTAACATAATATAATTTGTACCAAGGTTCGAATTCGACCTTGGCTTAACATAATATAATTCGTACCAAGGTTCGAATTTGACCTTGGCTTAGCATAATATAATTCATACCAAGGTTCGAATTCGACCTTGGCTTAGCATATATAATTCGTACCAAGGTTCGAATTTGACCTTGGCTTAACATAATATAGTTTGTGCCAAGGTTCGAACTCGACCTTGGCTTAACATAATATGATTCAATGCGGTGTAAAATTGGGAAGAGATGAGTGGAATGAGTCATTTTATTAATGTTATGGATATGCCTCGTTAAAAACCCTCTCAGCCAAAACCCATTTTTCTATTTTTTGGGACAAAAGACTGAGTCGGGAAAAGAGTGCATGACCCATTTGTACATTTCAACTGAAGTAAAACTTGAGATGCGTGGCATTCAAAGTTCGTGGGATGGTTTTTCCGCTGAGCTCTTCTAGTCGGTACACCCTATTTTCTAGGTCTTCTGTAACTCGAAATGGGTCGTCCCAGTTAGGCACGAGTTTCCCGTCTGATGGGTCTCTTCGTGCTTCGCCAAGTAGTCGCCACACCAGGTCGCCGACCTGGAAAGATCGAGGTCGGACTTGTGTGTTATATCTTCTGGAGGCTCGAAGTTTGCAAGCTTCTTCGTGGACCCAAGCCTCCTCTCTAAGCTTGTCAATCAGGTCGAGGTTGGCTACCGTTTCTTGAGCATTTTGCTCACTGTCGAAGGTATGACGTCGGTGAGACGTCTCGCCGACCTCCATTGGGATCATGGCATCGGCTCTATAGGTCAGCTTGTAAGGCGTTTCCTATGTTGTTGATTGGGGGGTATAGTGGTACGCCTAGAGAATGTTGGGGAGCTCGTCGACCCATTGTCCTTTGGCGCTTCCTAGCCGCTTCTTGAGTTATCGGAGTATTACTTTGTTCGCGGCTTCGGCTTGGCCATTGGTTTGGCGATATTCCACCGAGGGTGGAAGGTGCTTGATTCTGAGTTCTCAGAGGACGTTCTCGAAGCTCTGCACGATGAATTGCCTACCGTTATCAGTGACAAGGGAATGTGGAAGACCAAACCTGCAAACAATGCTTTTCCATGTGAACTTCTGCACATTCTCAGCGGTAATCTTCGCGAGTGGGCACGCCTCAATCCACTTAGTGAAATAATTCGACTGCTACAAGGAGGAACTTGAGTTGGCTTTCGCTAGGGGAAATGGTCCCAGGATGTCTATTCCCCACTAGGCAAAGGGCCACGGCGATACCATTTGATGGAGGACTTCAGGTGGTTGCCGATTTGCGTTACCGAATTGCTGACATTCCTTGCATCTCTGTACGTAAGCTTGGCAATCCGAATTCAGTGTGGGCCAGTAGTACCCAGCCCGGAGTACCCTGGTCACCATCGAGCGAGCCCTAGAGTGCATTCCACAGATCCCTCGGTGGATCTCATCGACGACGTAGGTGGCCTGGGACTCTGTTAGGCATTTCAGCAAAGGAGTGGAGATACCATGTTTGAACAGCTTATCTCCAATGATGACGAACTTAGCCGACCTTACCCTCATCTTCCGTGCTTCGTCTTTGTCCTCGGGTTGAGTACCCTCCTTTAAGTAGTTCCATATTCTTGTCATCCATCCTTGGCCATCATTTTCGTTGGCGTTGACAACTTTGTCGTCTAGGCTGGGTGAGTTCAAAGTCTCCTGGATGATGGTCCGATGTTGCTCGGGGCGCATTGTACTGGCAAGCTTGGACAGGAGATCGACTCTGGCATTCTGTTCTCGGGGCACATGGTGTATAGTGAACTCATCAAAGGATGAGATCCTCTAGGATGCGT